AGAGTTTGTGTAAGAAACACATTAAAATCTCTTGCATTGCATTATGCATTGACAATTCTTGCTTGTTAACTTGGCGTAAAAGCGTTCAGTATGTTCTAGTCTAAAAAAAAATATGAGAAATCCTTACCAGTATATGACGTAGAGCTGTAAGAGTCGGCGGATGACGCTGATAGAGATCTGCTGCGATATCTGGCGGACTTCTTCAACGCTCCAGACTTTCCACGCTGCCCCTCAAATTTTCCAGCTGTACCATCTGTATTACCCGTCCTTACATGGCCAGGATCGGTCACAGGACTATCGCTTGGTATGTTAGCATTCGCCACACTCTCCTTTCTGTTCTGATTCGGTTCCCCTTGTCCCTCCGACATCGTTATTTTTCAATACTCGGCAAAGGAAATTTATTCCCGAAAATTGAGCTATTAATGACTATAGCCCTGGATAAGAATATATTTTATTCACGCCAGGATAATATGAAATAATTATAATATTGATTTTTAAATAATTATTTCTTCAAAGTAGAGTGTAATCCAATACTAAAATAATTCAAATACCAGCAGGTAAAGGTATAAATGATTTAATTAAATAATGGCATCACAAAGCCTGATATAATTATTAGAGAGGACATTAAAAATATTTCACCACACTTTGTTGCGTAGATGATTATTTTTTTAATATTACATTTGTAAAACGTAAAATCGCACATTCACCTAAAGCTGAAACTGAAATACACCCCTCGCTTGAAACATTTACCTCACCCCTGTCTATGGTCTAGAGCAAATGTTTCACCAATGTCATTTTCGATTTCGATCGACAGGAAATCCAACAACCGGAATACAATCGTAAATCAGTGTCTTAAAAATCTTACGACTTAAATAGCAAAATAAATAAACACTCTTTCAAGTCAAGACAAGGCAGGTTCTAATTTCAGATATTATTATATTTGTCGTACCGTATAAAAGAACATCAAAATGGTCGTTCAGAGAAATTGCCATTTAGTTAACAGAACCTACTAAAAACTGTCAAAAAACTGTAAAAAATTGACTAAACGTCTTTTGATTCAATAATAATATATGAAAACAGCAAAATAAAGTGCAAAGTCAGTGTTTAGTTAAACGCTTAGTCAAAAGTAGAAAGTTTTTTCTGAATCGGAAAAACGTCAAAATGTTGTTTTGTTTATGGTTTTATTCAAGTTCACAAGCAAATCACTAGCGTCGCCAATATGGTAGTGAAATATATGTACATGACAACCGTACGAAACAGCTAGGAAGTAAATAACGGATTTTGTTTTAATAATATCTTTTGGTGAGTGAATACTTTCATATTATTGTCACACATACATAGTAATGTTTTTTCAATCAGTTAACTATACATATGACTTTCGCCAGGTGTAAGGGAATAAAAAAAAAGCGATTTTCGAAATTCGTCATCCAATCGTGTACCGGTAGCCAATGGCATTTAAATAAGATTTAAATTTTGTGAGATGCTATAAATGAAACATGATGGAAAATTATAAACCGTTTGATTTATTCATCTGGCGTCAATCGTGTTTGCGTTGCTAGAATCATCAGAATAAATATGCTTTATTTTTGTCACTTTATCGGAATTGTCAAATCGTTGAGAATGAAATGTTTTATGTTGTATAAAAATAAGTGATATTATTTATAATTTATTTATTTATCAAATCTGATTCAAGTCATTCTAGTGAAGTTCCGTTTATCGTAAGAAACTCGTGATAACGCGTACTCCGTGACTTCGCAGTGCATGTTTATTTGTATTTGGAATAAGTTCGACTAACATATGACGACACGTGGCTTGTACATATGGTTATTGACGTCATAAGATATGCAATAAAGCCTTTTTCGCGCCACACAATAGCTTTGTTTCAAGATTTACAGTTACCGAATTTTATCGGCACATATACAAAAAACCTTCTCTTTAAAAATAAAATAACTTTTAAAACGTTTGTATATTAAAACTACTCTACCTTAGTATTCATATTTTGATTACATCTTATGTGAAAGACTTATTTCTTACCATATTTGTGATCTAATGAGGTTAGTTGTCAAATTTGTAAGCCCCTAAAACATAATATTTGGTACTAACTGTTGCTCGCGACTTCGCCCGCATGAATTAAAAAATAATAAAACAATAGTGATAACATAGTTTTTTAATGGTGAAAGAATTTTTGAAATTGATCACACAGTTTTGGAGTTATTTCAATATACACAAAAATACAAATCTTTCTTTTTATAATGATAGTATAAATTCATTGATTTATTATTCATACTGTTTCTACAAAACCTGTGTTTCAAATTTATGTTATTACTTTAGTAAGTTACTTTTCAGACTCTAATAGTACTTATAATAACTTACCAATATGTCAATTTAAATTTACCCATATTTCTTTAATATTTTCTTCATCTGTTCCAAATGTCATACATACATTTTTGAGTTATTGTAACATACATCCATACATTAAGGTTTTACATTTATTAGTATGATTTTAATAAATCTTATTAACTAAACTCGGGAGACTTGTGTGTCAATGTTTTCTTATCTATTTGTCTTATGACAATTCTAATAAGTAAATTTACTAACTGAAGACGTAATCTTGATGTAAAATCAATACTAATGTCCCCATGAGAATTGTTTCCTTTGTTCTAAGTCAGAATGAAGTGTAAAATTTTAATTATTATTATCAACAGAGACAACTTAATCCTATGACACAGTTTTTTTTTTAATCTATTTCAACGAAAACATTTTTACATAGTGGTGTTAACACAGCTTGATGCCATTAAACATACAATATTTATATTGGCACTGCACAGTTCACATTTATATTAAAAGTTATTTATAGGATACAATGTAAAGTTTAAATAATAATAGTTAATAATTTCTATATGACTAAGTATTTTTTTATATACTATCTGTTTCCCTTAACCTTTTCTGTGTGGAGCTTAAAATCCAAAATTTATTTTCTCTTCTTATTTAAAGCCTCATCAATATTTATTGTTTTTAACCCTTAACTTGACAGAATTTTTTTTTCGAATATCAAAATAATATTCAAAGCACTTAACCTTGATGACCCAAGGTGTTTAGAAAAAATAATAAAAAAAATGTATGTATTTCTACAGATACACTAAGAAGAAAAGGGTTAAATTTTCAAGTGATTCTATCAAAAGAACACCCATTCCTACAAATTGTGGGGGGTGCTTTTAAAGCCTTTAAAAAAATTAAAAAAAACACCCATAGCATTCATCTGTATAGTAAAAGAAATCTATATGAAAAATATTCAGTCTCTAGGCCTCATATGTAGTCTGCGAGTTTTTAAATATCTAAACAATAGAAAGATTTATATTTTTGTATATATTGAAATAACTCAAAAACTATTGGGTTGATTTCAAAAATTCTTTTACCGTTAAAAAGCTATGTTATCAGTAAGTAATATAGGCTATATTTTTTAATTTCACGCAGTCGAAATTGCGAGCAACAGCTAGTTATAAGATATAAAAGAATATTATAATAGAGTAATCCTAGATACAAACTTTGACTTACATTTTAAGAGCATTAGAGCTTAATTTTAAGAAAGTCTGATTAACAGTTATTTGTGTTAAAAGCACTGCTTTTGCTAGTATTAGTACAAGTGACATAACAGTTATGTCTTGTCAGGTGCAAAGGATGTCTACACAGGGCCGCGGGCGCGGCTACACGGGGCGGCACCACCTACGCGAGCCGCGGCCCGGCGACACGGATGACCGCGACGCACGTATCCTTGCTGAACTCAGCCCGAGGACTACAGACAAACAAGGTTATTTATTTATATACCAGCTGTAGTTTGAAAATGCGTCCACATAAAGTTTAAAAATACAGCCTATATTACTCAGGGATAAAGTAGCTTCCTAATGGTGAAAGAATTTTTTAAATTGGCACAGTAGTTTTTGAGTTATTTCAATATATACGAAAATACAAATCTTTCCTCTTAATAATCATACTTCATACTAATATTATAAATATAAAAGTTTATGTGGATGGATAGATGGATGTTTGTTAGAGTTTGTAGCATAAACGGCTGAATGGATCTGGATGAAATTTGGCATAGATGTAGAACATAGTCTGTAAGAAGACATAGGCTACTTACTTTTGTTTATTTTATAATTCCACGCAGACGGTGTCGCGGGCTAAAGCTAGTATTTATATAGATTGTAATTAATTTATATAAAAACAACAAAGTAACTATTAGTACCCTTTTGTTCGTGCAATATAACAAGTACAAATCCAGTGAAACAAACATTTGAGAAAACATAATGCACCTAAAACCAAATTGTTTGCAACTATACCACAACAAAACAAACTGTTTTACAACTCTTATGCACGGTTCACACTTTGTAAGTACAGTTGGTCATAAGCACTCAATAACTGGACTGCCAAAACTGGCATAGTATGAACGCTAATGCTTGTGAGTTCATGCAGACTATTACTGACTGTGCAACTGTCCAACTATACTAGCTTTGTGTAAACCAGGCGTAAGGTCAGTAGTGTGCAAACATAGCTGAAGAAATATGAATATCTAAATTAAAATTAATTGAGAGTTAAATCCATTATTTTAGGGAACTTTTTTACACTAAAATTGTAATAGTTACACAAAATAAAATTAGTATTTACTAATGTCAACCTTGGAAAATATAGATGTATGGATGGATGTTACTTACGTATTTCCTAAACGACTTAGAGAATCTTGGTCAAATTTGGCACAGATGCAGAACTTAGTAGAACTAGAGTTATTATTTTGTCGTATTATTATTTGTCTAGACTTTATGGCTAAAACATGTATTATGTTTTAAGGAATAAACAAGAACTAGTATTTTTATCAATAAAAATCTATGGTCAAGTTATTACAACTTTGACATTTGCATGTCAAACAATTTCGTGAATTTATCATATTGTGTTGCTACCCTCTCTGTCACTAATAAAACATATTTTTACTAGCTTTTGCCCGCGACATGCTCGCCGCGGAAATAGAAAAAAAACTTCGTAAGTAGCCCAAGTTTACCAGACTATGTACATCTGTGACAAATTTAATTGCGATCGGTTAGTCGTTTTGAAGATATGTACTAACAAACATCCATCCATCATCATAACCAATACACTATACATCCCCACCGAAGAGCCTGGAGCCTACCCTGTAAGGTATTGTCAACCATGCTGCACTCTTGTGGGTTGACTTCACACATCTTTGAATTTCTTTGTCCGTATATGCAAGTATCAAGATGTTTTCCTACACCGTAAGAACGTCGGGTAATTTATGTACATATGAAATTCGAAAAAACGAAATTAACATTGGTACGGTTAATTCGAGCCCAAGACTTTGTGTCGGCACTGTAAGGTATTACTTACAAATCAAATGCTCAAACCTCTGAGAATCCACCCAATAATATTTCGTAATTTTTTAGCATATTTATATTAATTTTGTATCTAAATATTTCAGATTCAACAAAAATGGATACAAACAAAGTAGATATAATAGCCAAGGAAGGAGAGTTTGATAACAAAGAGGATATGGATTTGAAGCCAGTCAAGTTGAGCCGGAGCATTGATGACGAGGACCCTGGTGTTAAGGAGTTGCTGCATATTGATGAACAGTTTTTGCCGCTACTGGCTTTGGTATGTAATAGTCACTATTACCTATAGATTTAGGTTGTCTATTAATAACGTTGCATAGTTCTTAGTCTGTTAGAAAAGGGGTTTGGATAGAGAAGGGAATGCTAAGAAAGGGGAAATATCCTGTTTATGTCACCCTCTTTTGATGCATTGCAGATGTTTAGAGCTTCAGTTTATTGAAGAATTACAGTGGTTGTTTGCTTTTCTCACCTTATAATAAAAATCATAAGTTAAATGTCTGAATACATGTTTTTAAACATCCTTAATAATTTTACAGTAAATTCAAAGTTAACTATTAGTAAATACTAGTTTACCCGTGATTTCGTCGGCATGGGATTTAAAAAATACAAAAGTGAGTAGCCTATGTGTTCTTTCAGACTATCCTCTACGTCTATACCAAATTTCATCCTGAACCGTTCAGCCGTTTAGGCTACAAACTCTAACAAACATCCATCCATCTAAACTTTCACATTTATATTAGTATGAATAGTATGATGGCAGTTTTTTTATATAGCAATTGTTCTTTTTAAAAAGTGGTCGATTTTTAATTAATACTCTATTTCTATTACAGCTAGAACAATTCTCTCCGGGTGAAGATGGAATACAATTCAATAGGAAGCTGCGTAATTTTGAAACAACGGTGACTAACATGTGCACAGATGAGACAAGATTACAGTAAGTTCTATGTGCTTTTTTACGTCATATCACCAGCTCACTATACGTCCCCACTGAGGGGATCAGAGCCTACCCTAAGTAAGGGGGGACTAGACCATAGTCAACCATGTTGCACTGCAGGTTGGTTGACCTCACACATATCTTTGAATTTCTTCGCCTATATGTGCAGGCATCACGATGCTTTCATTCACCGTAAGAACCTCGGGTAAATTATGGACATACGAGCTGTTGCCCGCGACTTCGTCCGCGTGGTATTAGAAAACATGCAAACTATATAAATTGCAAAAAGTTACGTATCCCTCGGGAACCGGACTTTTCTCGGGGATGAAGCTTATCCCATGTGTACTCCAGACTTTGTTTTATATCTGTGCCAAATTTCAATAAGATATGTTGAACCGTTGCAGAATGATCGAGTAAACATTAAAAAACTAAATTAAACAATCCCACGGGAACCGTAACTATTCCCGGGATAAAAAGTAGCTTATGTGTTCTTCCAGAGTATGCTCTAAACCTGTGCCAAATTTCATAGAGATCCGTTCAGCCCTTTAGGCTACAAACGCTAACAAACATCCATCCATCCATCTAAACTTTCGCATTTATAATATTAGTAAGATGAATATACAAAAAATCGAAACTCACATTGGTACATGGCGGGATCATGAAGATGAAGAACAGTCTGAATCTCCACTAAATAATACAAAAATACAAATCTTTCCTCTTTATTGTATTGGTAGATATTTATATTGTTAGATAATGTTAATCTAAATCGAAAAAGACACATTACCCACCAACACTTCACATATAGTCTTAATTTTGTTGTTTAATTTTTTTAAATATTTGTTTCGTTTCAGTAAATTAATGGCTTATATTTTATTTTTTTGTTTTCTATGTATCAGTATTGGTCTGTGGGGCCTGGACGCACAGGCTTTTTTTAAGCGCGGGGAAATGCCTTACGCCTAAGATGAGTGATGTTGGGTTTGCACCAACTAAAAATACCATGGTAGTCTCCCATAGCGCTAATGAGGGTCGCGGGATCTCCATTTGGGACGTGACCGTCAACACAGGCCCTAGTTTAGACACCATTCCCCTTCCCAAGGGGAAAATTAATAGTTTTTTTTAAATTTCAGTATGGCGTTCGCGTCGTTTCGAGCGGCGGCGCTGCAGAGCGCGGTGACG